GGCCGGAGCAGACAGAGGGCCTGCTCAGAGCCATTACCTGGCGGGACAGAGAGAGAGAGGGAGCAGAGGTAGGGGTGGCAGGCGGCTCCCCAGGCGGGAGCTGCCAGGCAGGCTCGTAGGTGAGATGGATTGCCCTGCTGGGGACAATGCAGAGGAGCAGGGACAGGAGGGGGGGCAGCATGGGCTGGGCGTGCCAGGGGAGGGTACAGGCAGACAGAGAGACAGACAGACGCAGAGAGACAGATAGGAGGAAGGAGGAGATTGTTAGTATTGGGGACTGAGGCTATCCTGGGGGACTCTGAGGTCTAGGGCAGTGGGGGTCAGCAGATACTCTGATGGGGGCGGGGCAGGCCTAGCAGCCCCAGAATCTGGGGCAGGCTTGGTGACAGAGACCCTTGGGAGAGGGTCCCAGCATGGCCCTTGTAGGGGAGTCAGCAGGTGCCACCCTGACAGGTCGCAGGAGGCCCTACTGACCACTGAGGAAAGGGTGGCACTGAGACACAGCCATGCCCATGAGGGGTGGTGCCCATGGCACTGAATACAGTGCCTGTCCCAGTGCCGCGACGCCAAAGACCACCGGGCCCAAGAGTGTCCCAAGGTGGCCCTGGGCCTCAGGGTGAGGCCTCACCAACAGGGGTAGCCTCTCCCCAGAGCCCCGTGTCCCTGCCCAGCCACATCAGGCCCCCAGGGCAGACCCCAGAGCAGCACACAGCCCCTATGAGATCAGGCAGCACTGCAGGGAGCAGTCATGAGCCTCAGGGAACATGCCACACCCACACTCCAAGACCTGGGGTCTCAGGAGCAGAAGGGGAAGGAGCAGGCCTAGAGGGGAACTGGCTCTCCGGTAGCCTGTGTAGCACCCACCCATGTCCTCACCTCCTTGCCCTCCCTGTCCGGGGTGAGGGTATGTCCTGCGGCAGGGCACACGGCTGGGCACAGGGTGCTGCTGGTACTTTTGTGGCGGGCGTGGCCTTTTCGGGGGCTGCCCTTGGTGGGGCTCAGCAGCTGGGGGTGGAGCTCGCGGTTGGGGGAGGCAGGGGTGGACGTGATGACGAGGGTCTTCAAGGCTGTCACCTCTGCCTGCAACATGTCCATCTGGCCGAGACAGGACAGGAGAGCCCAGGGTTGATGCCACCACCCATCACCCCTGGAACAGCCTTCAAGGGAGGGACTGAGATGCTCATTTTACAGGTGGGGAAACTGGGGCTCAGGTGTAGTTGTGTGGCCTGTCTGAGGTCACACAGGGCACCCGCCGCCGATCCCAAGCTAGACAAACAGCTCAGCTCCCAGGGTCTGCCTGGGGCTCTTGCTGGGTGAGGGGAGAGAGGCAATGACCACCCCTACAGGACCCTTCAGCCACAGGCCCCAGCCAAGCTCCACAGTGCAAGGCTGGGGGGGCTGGGGCACTGCTTGGAGCCGCAGGGGAACCCCATCAGCAGCCTTCAGCTGCCTAATAGCAAACACTTGCACTGCTCTGGGCCTGGTTTGTCCATCCCTGCTGAGCCCACAGGCCACGGTGATTGATGCCCACACTGGGTGGCGATGGGCAGGGCTCCAGAAAGGGGGGGCCAGAACTCGGCCTGACCTCACCTTGCCCCTCGCCTCCTTCAGCTGCTTCTCAGACGCTGCCTGCTGCATGTTGGCTTCTCGCACCATCTTGTGGGCTTCCTGGGAAGAGGGCGCAGGCTCTGGGTGAGCGGCAGCAGGAAAGAGGGGGGGCGAGGGCGGCCACCCTGTCCCCAGCCCGTCCCCTGGGCCGCACACCTCGAACAGGCTGGCCGTGAGCTCCTCCAGCTCCTGTTCCAGCTGCTCGCGCACCTTGGAAAGCCGCTCACACTCCTCGTCCTTCAACTTCAGCTCCTGCGGGGACAGGCGGCCCGGTCAGCCCCAAGGGCCCAGGCAGCCCTGGAGCCCCCAGAACACTGGTGTCTGAGAAGGACTTACTGCCATGGAGTCGATCCTGACCGGCTACAGGACAGAGTTGAACTACCCTTGGAGTTTCTGAGACCGAACCAGGAGTAGGAAGCTCCGTCTTTCTCCCATGAAGCTGGCTAATGGGTGGTTTCAAACTACTGACCTTCCGGATGTCAGCCATGTGTGCGCAAACCACCACCAGGCACCTCGAAAGGCCTAGAGGGGTGGAGACGCTTCGCATAGCACTGGATGGAGGATGTGCCCAGGGCAGAGCCTCTGTCTTGGTGTTTTTATGTTTTTATTTGATAAGGGTCTGTGATGCAGCAGCAATGCCTTTTGGTCTACCCTCCGCTAGCGCGGGTGTTTCCACTTAGCTCACAGCATGAGCCTAAAACCCCTATTAGTCCATTAGAGCTTGGAAGCGCTGTGGAAGATTTGGGTTCTACAGCCCTTGGGATGTGAGTGGTTTCAGGGGCTGGGAGGAGGGAGGAGGCGCGTGTGCGTGTGTGCACGCGCGTGCGTGTATGATGATTTTAAATTTCTGCCAAGGGGGATGCAAAACATTTGCAAAAGGGTAATGGTGATGATTCCAGAACAGTATGAAGTGACTGTTGTGGTTAACGGTCACCAAAGTGGCCCCTGACACAGCGTCCCCATGCACAACGGAACCAAACAGGGTCCGGTCCTGCACCTCCCACCCCCATGATCAGTTGCAGACTGGACCATAGTGTTTCCCCCCCAGATTTTCAGAAGTGGATGGCCAGGCCTTTCTTCCTAGTCTTAAGTCTCGAGGCTCCGCTGAAACCTGCTCAGCTTCCCAACAGCACCGAGGCCTCTGGGAATGGACCCCAGTCTGCCCCTTGGGCGGTGACACCTCTACCCCTGAGCCACTGAGAACCTAAGATCCGAAAGGCCATCCCTGATATCCAGAGCCTGGGCTATCGCAGCCCTGCAGGACACGCCCACCTGCCCCGCCCACCTTCTGTGCGCGGCGCAGCTCCTCCTTCAAGAACTCCGAGCCCTTCTCGCGGATCTCCACTGACGAGCTGCGCAGGCGCGCCACGTCCAGCTGGGCGGCGGCAGGGCCCTCCTCTCCGGCTGAGGTCTCCGCCGGGGTTCCCGGGGACTCCCGGCGGCCTTTGAGGCTCTTCCAGGCGCCCGGGACAGCCCCGAGGGGCGGTGGGCGGCCCTCGTCCGGCGAGGGCTGGCTGTGGGACAAACAGGGGCGTCAGCGTCTGCAGGGTGGGGTCCTGAGCCCAGGGGATGAACCTGGGTAGTGCACCCGCCCACCTGGCCTCGGTCTCCCCACGGGTACATGCAGTTGCACATGGAGTGGTCCAGGGGGGCAGAAGGACCTAGCACAAGCCTCTTAGGGGCAAGGACCACTCGCTCATCCTTGCCGATCCCCTCCCGCCCAGGGCTTAGCCCACAGGGAGTGAGTGCTCCCTGTTGGTCCCACACGTGACTCACCCACGGGGAAACTCGGGGTCTCCACGTGTAATTTAGGTGGACCCTTAAATTACATCTAAAGCGGGTAAGGAGTAGCCCCCGGGAGGCACTCGGCGGTAAGCTCCTGGCCCTGCCCCTAGGACTGCAAATTCGATGCGCTTTCTACCCGGTCCCTGAGAAGCAGGCGCGGTGCGCAGCAAGCAGGGCGCTGGGGCCGGAAGTTTGTGCCGGCCGGTGGCCTCACGCACACTCCTCTCTGGACCTCTGGATACTCCCTTTCCTGAGGCTGGGCCGCCCTCCCTCACCCACACCCCCGCCTGGCCCAGCAGACA